GGGCCAGTAACTTTTATTTTAATTGTATTTTTATTAACCTAACATTGGTTTACAACACTACATGATTTAGAGATATATTCACAACTCTTCAGATGTATGTTACCACAGCCACCACCAAAACACTCAGAATCTACTGCCAGAGACCATTGTACTCTCTCCCCTTTTGTTCCCCAACCCCACTCCTGTAGTCTCAGTTCTGGAAAATGTGCAATTCTCTCAGTTTCAGAATACTGACAGAGTTGTGCAGCCATCACCATTATATAAAGGTAAAACATTTTATTAATCATAAAAAGAAACCATCCCATGGCTCCCTATTGCCCATCCATAGGAAATCACTAGTTTACTGTCTGTGTCAGTGGAGTTTGTTTTTCTGAAAATTTCATATAAATGGAACCACACATTATGTGGAATTTTTTTTAATGACTTCTTTCACTTAGTGTCATTTTTGCATGTTTCATCCATATCATAACATGTATCAGGACTCATGTCTTTCTCTAAAATTAAACTAAATTTCGAGAAAGTGGTAGATACATATGTAGTTTTCACAACTAATACAGGGAAACCTCTATGTTTTTTTTCCATCATCCTGATGATAACATCTTGCAAAACTATAGTGCAATATTATGACCAGGATATTAATCGTGACACAATCAATCAAAATACAGAACATTTCCACCACTACATGGATACTTCATGTTGCCCTATTATCATACATTGTTCTCATGTTTTTCCTATTATAACCACCATTAACTCTCTCCCATCATGACACATTTCTTAACTCCTGGAAATTTCTGATGTGCTATCCATCCATCATCCATCCATCCATCCATCCATCCATCCATCCATCCATCCATCCATCCACCCATGTGTGTATGTGTGTGTGTGTATGTATACATGCACACATCCATCCATCCATGTGTGTATGTGTGTATACATTTATACATACATATATATACATATATACATACATATATATATGGAAAACCAAATTATATAGTTGTATACATGCCAATAATTTCAAGAATGTTGTATGACTGTAATTTTATAATAGGTAAAGTTTTAGGCTTGAATTTTTTCACTTATAATTTTTTTGAAGTCCATCAAAATTGTTGCTTGCCTTACTAGTCTGTTTCCTTTTTATTGTTGGGTAGTATTCTATAGTAGAATGTACCCCAGTTTTTTTTTTTTTTAATGAAAGACATTTAGATAGTTTCCAGTTTTTTTCTATAATAAATAAAACTGTTATGAGCATTCATGTACAGGTTTTTTTTTAAGATTTATTTATTTATGCATACAAGAACTGAGGTGCAGGTCAGAGCTACAAGGGTGATAGGATTCACCAGAGACAGAGTGTGGAGCAGAACAGTCAGATTGATTGAAATGCACTGCTGAAGTGAGACAGGATGGGTTTGCTTTGCCATGGCCAGGGTTTGAATTTTTGTTGCAGTGGCTATTGGTAGTTTTATAGTGCTGAGACTTAACCCCTTGTGCCATCAGGGAAGCCTTTCATGAACACTTATTGTACGGAAGAAAATTTTTACTTATCTGGGATAAATGCCCAGAATTCAGTTGCTGTAGTAGTTGCATTTCCAGTTTTATAAGGATCTACTAAACTTTTTCAAAGGTATGCCATTATGCACTCTCACTAGCAATATATAAGTGATTCAGTTTCTTCATATCATCATTAGCATTTAGTGTTGTCATTTTTTAATTTTTAGAGGCTTCTGATGTATGCATAGTAAAATTTCATTGAGTGACCTGGGTTATTTAATAATATCCATTTCAATAGGATTCATGCAAGACTTCATGTATTTAACATATTTGGCATGCTAGTTAAATCTTAACTATGACTATTATTACAAACATAGAGATGGTATGGTTCTCACCTTCAAATGATTCATTATCTTACAGAGGACAAATACATGGAAGCAAGCAAGTAATGGTAATTGACATCGCTAAGTGGAGGAGTTATGAAGCAAAAATTATGGGATCTAAGACGGGGAATGCAGGATTGTCAAGGAAGATTTCCCGCAAAGGTGATTTTTAGATAACTTTGAGGAATAAGTTAACTAAACTAAGCAAAGTGAGAAGTGGCATGGGTGTATTTTAAGGAGAAAGTGCATATCAGTTATGGTGGACAGATGTTTAATAAGATTATAGGTTAGAGAGAGGGGTAGAAATAAGCCTAGACTCACAGATGAGTCTAAGAAGGGGGCAACTAGGGATCAAATAAGGACTCACTTATTATATAAAAGAACATAGAATTAACCTATGTTAAGTACTGGAGAGCCATGGACTACTCAAGAGTGACATTTCATGGTACCCACTCATCTCCTTGGTCTTCATGCTTAGAATCCCTCTGACAAGCATCTTCCTACTTCCTGGATCCCTGGTATGCTGACCATGCTCCCCTTTTAAGGATTTCTGTTATAAAACAATGTTTATATAATATAAACATTATATATATATTATATATATATATATATTTATTTATAATTCCTCTTAACCCACCACCAAATCAGACCATAAAAAATTAATCACATCAGCTGGGAAGCCCACGGGGATTACAATTGAGACAGTAAAAGGCACAAAATGATATAAAAATAAACTAATACATTATTTTTTTAAAATTAATCATGTCAGGCTCTCCTTGGTGGCACAACGGCTAAGGCACAGCACTATAAAGCTAGCCACAGCTGCTTCAGCACCAATTCTATCCCCATCAGGAAGGTGACCTTCATGGTACAGCAGACCTCTCCTGTCTCACCCTCTGCTCCCCTCAGCAGTGTACTTCATCAATCTGCCTGTTCTGCTCCCTACTCTGTCTCTGGTGAATCCTCTCACTGCCCCTGCACCTCTGTCCTATACCCCGTTCTGTTTGCATAGATAAATCTTAAAAAATTCAAAATTAATCACATCTTAGTTCTTGTTAAGACATTATACTCAGATTTCCATTCTTTAATTTCTGATCCAGCTTCCCATGTTTTCCCCCATGGATCTCCTTCTATTCCTGCCCTATTGAAATTCAGAAAGCTTGTGTGCTGATCTCTACCAGGAGGTGTGTTAGTTTTAACATTCTGATGTTCCCTAAAGCCATTTGCAATAATAAGTCTTCTCATAGTTATAGTTTTTAGTAGCTTATTCTTCTGAAAACTCCATCCTAGTGAGTATCCTATTTTATTAAGAAGGAGGTTAAGTTTCAGAAGGATGAAGCCAATTCAAGTTCAGTCAACATTTCAGGCACAAAATTGGGCCTTAAACCTATGTAGTCTGATGCCTAAACGCAAGAACAGACATCCCTTCTTCACCTTCCTAGTCAAACCCTTTCAAAATACCCCATGGGAGAGATTTTTGTTTAAGTTCTATTTATTTTCCAGACTCTGGTAGGAACAGTAAGAGAATCATTCAAACAGATCCCAAAACAGAACATGTTATTACTATCTCACTGCAACTGAAATCTAAAACCATGGTGGCAAGTAAGGTGAAAACCTTCAAATACCCTAAATGATTCAAAGATTTTGATAACCCCCCATAAAAGACATGTATTTATTCATACAAAACCATTAATAATCCATTATAACCAGTATAAAAAAGTTGATTAAGGGCCCACTGATGGCCTATGGGTTAATTCTCAGTGTTACCACCATGACAGCGCTTCCCAGCAACCTGAGTTTGATGCTGACATGTAGCTAACCCACATGGCCCATCAGACCTTTCCTGTCTCACCCAGTGCTCCCTTCATCAGTGTATTTCAGTAAATCTACTTGTTCTTCTTCCCAATCTGTCTCTGGTGAATTATCTCACCCTCCCTCATCCCCAGCCTATACCCCAGTTCTTCTACACAAAAATAAATAAATAAAATCTTTAAAAATAAAGTTCATTAAATATTCTGGTATTGTTTATAATGACTAACTGTGAACTGCTTCAAATAGCAAATAGAAAAGTGCTTTCTTTTGGTGGGCTATCTTTCGGTGTATTTGCTCTGAGTTTGACTATTTATTTACCCATCTTCAGTATATGGTGATTGTAAGTGCCTGATGACAGCACTGCGCACATAGGACTGGTTGTGCTCAGTGCCACACTTACCTTCGTCTCTGTCTGTCATGGCCTCTGGGTGCCCTGTCAGCGGCCATCTCTGGGCATTTGGGTTCCACAGGTACTACCTCAAGAATTCAGTCCCAGCCTCTAGTCACAGGATGACAATGCAGGGGGTTAAGAAAAGATAAGGAACTGAGGATCCCTCCTTTTTCTCTTCCTGCTTCGACTCTATATTTGTCACCTTTTTCTCTTTGGCTTCTCCTTGTTTTTTCTATTCACTTTTATGTCTGAATATTCCTCTTTCTTTGTTCCAGTAAATGAGATTCTTTTTCATTTTTTATCTAATTCTTTCTGGTTTTTCTCCTTGTCTTATCTTCCTATTTTGTTCATGTTCCAATGTCTTTCTTTGCTTTATGACTTCTGTGGACTTGTGTCTTTGGTTTCAAACTCTCCCTATTTTTGTCTTAGTTTATGGCCCATCACAGAATCCACAGTGACTTTTAGAGAGAAATAGCTACTACATCATGGGCTTTAGTGATGGAGAATTAAGGGTAAATGTGAATGTTTAATGCTTGGGTGGGGCTCTCCAAGAAGACAACTTAGGAAGGAGGGAAAATTAGCTTGTTCAATAAGAGGATGGAGCCTAGGATGGGAATTTGGCAAGATTGTGAGTTCCAATGTTCAGTTAATATTCTGATCCAGGATATTAACTGAGATCTTGAGGCTATTTTTAGAAGCTCTTAAAATATCCTAGAAGACCCACCCCCACAATTCAGCTTGGGATGCCAGAAGACTCATTAAAGATAGAAAAACCCAGGCCTGCCACATGGAGCAGCAAGCATTTGATGAAGAAACCGTGTTTGTTTCTTTGCCCTGGACTGGTTAAAACAGATGTGGGTGAGGCAGCAGCGGTGGCGGAGGTGGTGGGCTCCTCCTGGCGGCTCTCAGGAGCCTGGCCCTCTCCAGCTCCTGCTCCGGCCTCGACCACAGCGAGCCCTAGCGCGGCGGGGGCCCACGAGCGGCGACGGGAAGAGATGAGCAGCAACAGCAGCAAGAGAGCCCCGACCACAGCCACGCAGTGCCTGAAGCAGGACTACCTCAGCATCAAGAAGGACCCGGTGCCCTACATCTGCGCGGAGCCCCTCCCCTCCAACATCCTCGAGTGGCACTACGTGGTCCGCGGCCCTGAGATGACACCCTACGAGGGTGGCTACTACCACGGAAAGCTCGTCTTCCCCAGAGAGTTTCCTTTCAAGCCCCCCAGCATCTACATGATCACCCCCAACGGAAGGTTCAAGGTCAACACCAGGCTGTGTCTGTCCATCACAGACTTCCACCCGGACACATGGAACCCAGCCTGGTCGGTGTCCACCATCCTGACGGGGCTGCTCAGCTTCATGGTGGAGAAGGGCCCCACCCTGGGCAGCATAGAGACCTCGGACTTCACGAAAAGACAGCTGGCCGCGCAGAGCTTGGCCTTCAACATGAAAGACAAAGTCTTCTGAGATCAGGCAGAAGCAGAAGGCACAGGAGGAGCTCAGCAGCTGGCCCCAGCCGCTGCCCCTGCCCGACGTGGTCCCCGACGGGGAGAAGCTCCCCGGCCAGCGCGGGCTCCCGCTGCTCAACGGCTGCGCGCCGGGGGCCTGGCCCCACCTGGCTGGACTCCAGCAGGCCAACCGGCACCACGGGCACCTGGGCGGTGCCCTGGCGAACTTGTTCGCCATAGTCCGCTTTGCGGCCTTCGCCTACACGGTCAAGTACGTGCTGAGGAGCATCGCACAGGACTGAGCGCTGTCCGGCGGGGGAGGGAGGCAGCCCGCAGGCGGCCCGCACCCGGCCGCCTGACTCCAGGCGGCTCTGGGAACCATGAAGAGGAGCCCGGCTGAAGCGCGAGGCCGGCGGGGGCGGCGCGGGCCTGGCACGGAGGAGCCGTGGCTGGGACCTGTGCGGGGAAACCTGTTTTTCATTTTACTAGATTTAGTCATTTGCAGGAAAAAACAAACAAACAAACAAACATGGGCGGGTTGATTCTAGCAGTGTTTACATTGATTTTGATTTTACTCTTTTCCTACCAGACTTGTCTGACCATTTCTGACCCTTTTGTATGGGTAGTGGCCAGAAGGTGCTTTAGGCTTGTGGCAGGTTTTCAGGACTTGCTTTGGACCAATCCCTTTTGGGTTGACTTTTACCAATGAGGGGATGGATAACTGCAGGTGTTTGACTTAGAAATTATATTCTTTGTCTTCCGTACTGTATACTCATTGTATTAAATTTCCTTTTCATCAAAGTCTTATATATCTTGTCTTTCTGTGGCAGATGGCAGAACCCATTTAGAGCAGGCAGATTGGGGATCAGGGGATCAGAGAAAGGAAAGTGAATTTTCCAAGGTTGCAGGGTAATCAGAGAAAGGAAAGTGAATTTTCCAAGGTTGCAGGGTAAATAAGTGCAGAACTTGGTATCAATGTGGATTCCCCAGATTGGAAATTTGCTCTCTGCTGGACAAATATGCACTTGTATTAAGTACTTCAGAACTTCTGGTCCTGGTCCCTATGGTGTTGTTGCTCTCAGAGAATGGTATCTACTTGTCAACATGTCCTGTCCTATTTATGGAAATGGCCCCCAGATTCTCTAGGGGGTTCTTGGCTATCTCAGTTTGCTAAGCAGGGAGAAGAAGGCAGTCCCTTGCTGCTACTGTTAGAGGAGGGTTAAGGTTAAGAGGGATACCTGAAGACTGAGCCTACTCTGGGAGGAGTCTCAGAGGAAGAAAGATCACAGGAAAAACAGAGTTTGCCACAGAGTTGCAAACGCCAGCTACTTTCTCATATGTCCATTAGTTCAGGCAATAAGCATTTGTTGAATATCTACTATTTTTCAGGTGCTGCTACTGGGTAGGCAGCAGTAAATGAGACCAGAAGGGAATGGCACAATGACAAACAGTTGATAACCAGAAGCTCTCCTCATTTCACAGAAAAGGAAACTGGATGTCAGGGAGGGAAATTAAATGTCCATAATACACAGTCCTTGGATTCAAAATGCAGACTTGTCTAATATTAAACCTGATATTCTTTTTACTGCAATACTTATCACCCTGAAGCTGCCACCTCCAAATCATTTCCTTTACCTACCTGTCTTAGCATTTAAAATGATGTGTATTTCTTTGGGGTAACAACTGTTTCCAAAACTTTCCTACTAATGTGTCAGAACAGCATACCTGGAAGCCTAAGAACACTTAGGCATCAATTAGCATATCTTATGGCATGAGCTTAGGCTCTACCAATGAGCTCTACCTATCACTTAACAAATACCAGAGAACAGTGTTACCAGAAGTTCTTAAGGAGGGAAGGGGAGAGAGGAGGAAAGGTATAGTACCTGTAACGAGGGCATCAATATATTAGAAGTAAACATGGATTAATATTTTTATAAACTTGGCAGCATAAGATAGGAATAACAAAATGAATACTGATAATATTTATGCCATAAAAAGTAAAAATTAGGGGGTCCTCCCTGGTGGTGCGGGTAGCACTAAGAAGCTAAAGCCACTTCCGCATGAGTTCATTACCCTCCTGCCCCAGAGGTGATGATCCACATGGCACGTCAGACCTCTCCTGATGTGCCCACTGCTCTCCTCAGCAGTATACTATTGATCTGCCTGTTCTGCTCCCCACTTTTGTCTCTGATGAGTCCTCTCACCGCCGCTGCACCTGTGGCCTGTACCCCAGTTCTGTATGCATAAATAAATAAATCTTTAAATATATATATATATCCTTAAAAAAATAAGATATATATATTTAACACATATATATATCCTTTACAAAAAAAATAATAAAAATAAATATTTCTTGTGCTGCAAAAATTAAAACAAAGTCAAAATACAAAGGACTAACTGGAAGCATATATGCAAGATTTGATACACAAGAGACTGATATAAAAATATAAGAAATATTATAAATCACTAATAAAGCAAGAGTACTTCAGAAAAGTTGACCAAAAAAAAAAAAAAACATGTGAATCAATCCTTTGCAAGAGAAGAATTTTAAATGACTAACAGCATAAAAATACTCAGTCTCACTTGTAATTAGGTAAATGAAAATAAATATTAAGGAAAAATTTTAACCTTTGTATCGGCAAAGATTAAAATGACAAACAAACTTGTAAGGAAATAGAAGTTAGAACAATCTCTCTGAAAATTGCTTGGCAAAAAAATATATATACATAAAGTTATTCATTGCAATGTTAAACGATAGTATAAAACTCTCTGTAGATAGCAGAATGATTAAATAGACCATGTAATGAAACACTATGCAGTCACTTAAAATAGTGAAATAATAGACCTATCAGTTGACATGAAAGTGATATCCATGAAAAAAAGATAATAATCCATCGTATAAAGAATATAAATGATGGTGGTGTGTGCTTGATATCCTGGACTATATTGACACAAATATCATTTCTGGAAGTTTGTATTTGTATTCAGTAGAATTTTCCAGGGTCCAGCGTTGGGCATGGCATATTATAAGATGCACAGACAAAATACAAACTGGGTCTGTCTAGAGGGAAGTACAGTAGGCTACTAGGGAGTTCACCCAATTCAAGGTTAAAGGGCCTGGAACCAGAGATGATAAAAATTCCAGGACAACTGACTTAGGCTTAAGTTAAAAAAATAATAAAATCTCTTTGATTACCCTTGCTCTCTTGTAACTGAGTAGGCTGTTTAGCGAGAGATGGAGAGTGAGCTTCTCATCATTGGAGTTGTGTAAGGGACTCAGTTTGATGGTCTTCTGGATTTTAAGAGTCAGAGATATGACAAATATGGACCTGTACTGCCTGCCTGGACTGGTGGGAGAGGCAAGGGTAGGGGATCCTTGGGAATAAAGCTTAATGAGACCTGCAGTGAGTTAGAGCAAAGAATCACAGTCAGCCTGGCTATTTCAACTGCAGCATCTCAAAATGAGCCCTCCCCCTTTTCCTCACTGCCTTCCCTGCCCCACAAACCCTTCCCCCCACAGCATCTGACCTGTGGGAACCTCAGTGTTTCCAATGACATTGGAACTTTCACGGCTCTTCCTTCCTTCTTGGTCAGAGTTTATATTGGCTATATTATTAGGCTGAATATGTAGGCTACTATGTAGGTGATCTGATTCAAAGGATGCTAGATTGATCCCCCTGTTTTAAAAGCCCGCCTCAATCTGTAACTTTCCACATTAATGCTTTTTCCTTTGAATATTGAATCTTTTCCAAAATTCCTCTGTAAAAATGCCAATAATTCCAGGAAGGGGATCATCTTAAGTTGCCAGAAAAAAAGAGAAGGGGGTGGGGGGGCTACTGAATTTTGCAGAGGGCTTCTTCTGAGCATCTAAAGAAAATTTTATATGCTGGGAAGCCTAGCAAGACAAAAAATGTGAAGGAAGTCTTTGTGTGTGGGGGGAGGGGGAGGTTCTGTCCAGGGGCCCAAACTACTCTGTGGATAAAGTTTAGAGTACTTAGACTCATTAGTTCCTAGGCTTGGCGACACATTAGAGTCACCTGGAGAGCTTTCAAAAATACTGATGCTCAGATTTTACTCAAGCCAGAAGATTCCAATTTAATTAGCCAAGAGTGGGGTCCAGGTATATTATTTTTGCAAATATTTCCAAGTGATTCTAGTGTGCATCCAAAGCTACAAACCTTTAATCCAACAGCAGCTCAGTTTGGGGAGAATAAACAGGTTTGGATTAGCCTTCTGGTCCCCAAGAGGGAAGGACCATGAGGAAAGGGTGTATTATTATCCAACTGCTTCCCAGCTACAGCCCCTTGCCTATATAAGGGGCAGAAGGGCTAGTCGTTTGCATAGGTGACCAAACTCTCTGGTTTGCCTGGGGATTTTCTGGTTTTAAAACAGAAAGGTCCACATTCACAGCAAAATGGAAGGTTAGTTACACTTCACAAGGTGATTGTAAATATTTAAATCTTATGTCATTTGAGTACTGATTGGGATAACCACGTTTTTCCTCTTATACTCATTTTTTATTTTTGTAAAACAAGGATGGTTTAAATGCCTATTCTGCTTCTCTCACTCCTGTACAATGGAATAATGCTAGTGAAAAGGCTCAGTGTTCTGAAAGGTCTACACATATTACTGGATAGAATGTTATAAATAATAAACAGTACCTGCCAGGCTGAAAAGGTCACCGGATTCTTGCCAGCATACCCACAAAGTACATTGTGGTTGCAGGTGGGCTAGCTCTCATCCTTTTCTACTCTCCTGGGGGTTCCTTTACCTCTTCCTCCAATATTTAAAGAATTCTAAGATATCAGAACTAGATATCAGCCCCATCCCACCATCAAACAGGTGGAGAGATGGAGATCTTAGACAGGTAAAATAACCGACACAAGATCTTATGGCTCGCCAGCAGCAGAACAGGATAAGTTAAAATACCTTGATCTCCAGTCCTTCTCTTTAGTCCAAAATCATATAATATTTGTGACCCACCTTCCTGAATCCCATAATTTCATATGTTCTTTTGGGGAACATTTAATTTCTCCCACAAATTCTGAGGAAAAAGAAAAATGATATTCAAGGGATTGTGGGAGCTCAGGACAGGGGAACAAAATTCACCTTAGGGAGAATGACTTTGGTTAGGGAGAACTTTTCAAATGAGGGAAACTGACAATGGAATATAATAGATTTTTAGGTAATGTGGGTAAATAACAGAGAAGACAGCAGAGATAGTGCATTCTAGGAACTGGGAACAATATGGGAAAATATGGCTTTTTAGTCCACTAAATGATGTTAGCGGATGACAAATGGACAGGAGACA